AGATCGATGAATTCACTTAAATCCGCCAATAATTGGGGTTAAAACGAAGTGAAGGGATGTATGAAGACATGCTGTCTGCTTAAGGAGAGTGGTTTAATTGGTTTGTTCAGATGATCGGGTTGCGTTACGTTTGATTGTAAAATGTAAATCCTTCAATTCCTTAAGCTTCTCATCGGATGCTGTGAATCTTTTATAGAGAAGACCAAGGTCTCTTTAAGGAGGATAAAGACAGTGGGGTGTAAGTTATCTTCTCCAAAGGGACAATTTGTAGCTCAAACCTGCTTGAAAGAGGACATTTCCTGCTGCTTCCTCATAATCAGTGAGGGAGGAATTAGAAGAGGAGAGTCCTGTCAGAACAAGGCTCCGGGTGTCTTGAGAGGCACTCGAGTGTATCAGTGAAAGCACAAGCCTTTTGAAAGCAGGAGTTTGATCCAGTCTCCAGTGAGTAAAGGCTTTAAAATATCACAGGGAGGAGAACAGCAGTGGAGAGTCTGTTATGGGCTTCACAAGTGAAGGTTTAACTTTGTTCAAATCTAGGCTTAGTGGAAGCCAGTGTTTGTCTTATTCAGTCTTTAAATTACCTAAATCTTCAGACAATTGCTTCATTTACTATACAAAAAGGACGTTTGATTCAGGTAAACCAGTTCCATGAAGTAAATGTTTTTTGGGGGCTATCCATTGGCGATCACTGCAAACAATAAACTGTTCCCCATGTTTCCATGAGTTTAATATTATTATGGGATGATTGGCAGTGTTAGTGATCAGTGATTCATAGACAGCTTTGAGAAATATAGAGAGAGGAGGCAAAAACAGGCGGGAATCATAGAATCATAATTTCAGACCATCATGGCAGAGCTGCGGACCATAACACTTGAATCTTTTCCCCCTTTATTCCCCTAACTGCTAGTAGCTAGTGGATGTTAATAGATCCCATGGCACTATTTAAAAGGAGAAGGGAATTTCTCTTGATGCCTTGGTCAACAATCCCCCAAATAAAATTGATCATTCATTTCATGCTGTTTGTGGGAATACTGTGCACAGATTGGCTGCTGAGATCACCTGCAAAAGACACAGTCACTATACTTTACAGTAAATCCTGTGAAGCACTTCCAGTGAGATGTCCTGGCGATGTGAAAAATGATACATCAATTACGAGGATTATTACTTTTTTATAGGAGCTCAGTAACTTTGCATCTGTTGCTCCTTCATGCTCAAACCTCCTGGTCTGGGGGTTGGGGTGAGAGGATGGAAGGTGCCAATCTAAGTGTGAGAAACATTTATCATTTACTTCAGAACTCCTTGGGGAGTCAGTTCCTCATCTTCCAGAGGCAACTTCACAGAAACACAAATGGCTGATGTGTGGCACCCACTCACCAAATTCAGCGTCTTAACACTTTCCTGTCCATAAAGTAGCTCTGTCACTGAATTATCTTTGTTTGAGAGACTCGCCCACTGCGCTGTGGTACATTCAATGGTCATTTAAAAATATCCCAGAGGAAAGGCTCTTGTGGTGCTTGTTAAGTGTCTGTTAATCCCTTGTTGGTTTTGCAGTATTTGGATTTTCTGCCTTCCTACTGTTGAAGGGGACAGAGGAGAGTTACTTATTTACTTCACACTGCTTTACTGCCTGTCACAATCAGAATCAAATCACAATGTAAATCCTTAGGGAGAGCATAAATCCCACTCCATTAACAGGCAAAGAGCTGCCATGCTGACCTTTGTATGCAAAGTGCACTGACTCCCCTTGCTGGCCTTGCTGGGAACAGCTCAGCTGAATTCTGTATCAATACTGATCTGAACAATAATAATAATAATCCTTGGATTTGATATAGCGTCTTATCACTTCATTGAGGCATCTCAAAGCGCTTCACAGAATGTATTGTAAAGTGAATTGACTGTATATTTTGTAGGCGAAATGCGGCAGCAGTGTTCCACAAACACCCATGGAGTGAGTGACCAAATTATTATTATTTTTCTTTGAAGGGATTATTACGCAAGAAAGCGATTTGCCAATTCTTGCTCGGTAAACAGAGGTGTGTGGAGCAAGGAACCCTGCCCAAGGTTTTCACCTGCCTGGGAATTGAACCTATGTCCTCTTGCTTGCGAGATGAGAGCTCTAAACAATACACTACAGGACTTGAATCATTACTGACTCTCCCCTGAACGTTTATACAACCAGCTTGCTTTACTCAGTGGTTGCGTGTAAATAAATGCGTTGGCTGACTTCCCACTATCCATACCCTGACACTTCACTGGACGGTGTGCAGATATGTTGACTGATTCCTTGCTGGCTGTGAGGGTAGGGTTGAGCTGTTTCCTCATTTGTCACGTACGACAGGAGTTTTATCTGCTGTGTTGCTGGTTGTGCGTAAACCATGATTACTGGATCTCCGTAAACTTGTTGCCATGTTAAGGCATTAGCTGACTTGCTGAGTGTTCCCAGTGACTTCTATTTTTGTTTCACTTTACAGTATATTCTGTTTGAAGATGCTTTGAGATG